CATAAGTTGTCCAGTTACAGTAATAGAAAAAGTCAGCAAAAACAAAATGGTGCCCAATAGTCCAATATTAACAATGCGTTGACAACAAACGTTGTTGTTTTTCAACAACTTCTGTTGTTCTCGAACAACTGAGCTGTTGGTCAACAACCGAGCTGTTATTTAACAACTAATTTTTACAGTGTGCATTCACGAAAACTTTTAACAGTGAGCTCTTTTGGGGCTTGTTGGCGCTGGCTCGGCGCCGCGTTCACCGACCGGTGCCAACCAGAGACGATGATGGTCTGTATCGGCGCGGGGCGGCGCGGGGCGGCGCCTCGAGGTAACGAGGCTGGATGCAGCGGAATGTTCATGGCCGCGCCGTGGCCGCGCCTTTAAGCAGAGCAGCGGCCTGCCGCCCCGTGAAGCTCGGCGGCCCCATTAACATGCCGGGGACGGATTTGAAGTAATTACCCTATAGATTAGCAATCTGGCTCCGCCGCCTCATGTAAACGCACGTTCCTTTGTGGCCGAGGAGGAGGCGGGTGGCTGATTTGCGCAGCGGTGGGAGTGAGAAGGGCGGCGACGACGACGCCTTATTGAAGGAGAGGTGGTGGCGTCCATATTTACCGAAACCCTTCTCTCTCTTTTTTTTATCATCCTCCGCGGCGAAGCCCTATTTAAAATAACAAATTGATTCATTTGCATCGCACTGGTCGCACTAGAAGGCTCTGATGGCTGTAGCGGCTGTAGCGAGGCCAATCGCGGCGGGTGTAATTGTTTTACGTGAGATGCTGCTGCGCGGTCGCCCCGCCCGCCCCGAACACGACCACAGCCGGGCGGGGTGGTTGGCGGCTGCAGGGGAAGCAAGGGCACGGGGCGGCAGCAACGGGACGTCCCGACGGCCCCAAGCCTGCCCGACTGACTGACACATTTCTGGGATTCCATTCCGTCTTGTACTGCTTGCTTCTCATCTCCCCCTCTCACCACATTTCTCCCCTCCCCCAACCCCAGCTTCCTCTTCTCACCCCCGCGAGGTTTGAATTTATCAGTGCCGACAGCACAATGGTCGCGGCCACGTCTCCGTCGTGCCGTCTGGTCATTTCACGCCGTTCGGGTGGATGAGCTTTCTGCGAGCCTGAGCCGCTTTGTTCGGTATCGAGCGACTGTCCTGACTGGACCAACCTCTTTCGTACTCCAGGCACCAGGCACCGTCCTCCAAGCGCTCTCGCAAATGTGGCCGTGACTGCATCCTATTGTGGCGTATTGTGGCTGCACCACCACCACAAGAAAATACCGCGTCAAACCAGTGTAGAGAAGGAATAGAAAAGCCTTGCAAAGACGATAAGCTGTGCTGAAGGCACATTTTTTAGGCTACGTTTAGAGTCCCCTTTTAAATTAAATGGGGTTTTTCATTACAACGACCTATTTAGAGTAGGAATTGCGTGCGTAGCAAGGCGAGCGTAAAACGCTCTACAAGCAAATTGAATCAAAAGCACAATCACTCGAGGGTTTTCAGAGGAGCAAAGCGAAGGTTTGGCTGTGGATTACTGGGTGGCAGCTTTGCCACGTAGTTTTGAAAAAGTAGACTAGCCCGCCCGCAGACTGGGAAAATGGATGGGCGGAAGAGGTCGGTCCCAGGACGTTAATTGGGATTCGATAGAAGCACCCCTACCCCGGGTTGCAAATGTCATCTGGTCGGCCCTATCCTATATAGACTTCAATGTCCGTCCTGACCCTGTTATGACCCTCCCGTCCATTCAACGTGGTTTGGGTACAGCCCCTAAACAGCCCTCTTGGGGCAGCTGTGAAACGGTGAAACCCTGGCGGCGCTGCGCGGGCCTTACAATAGCACTGTGCCGCTGTTCGCGCCGCGCTGCTGCAGCAGCCCCTGCAGCCCCGCCGACCCGCTTCCTGCTCGCCCCACCGACACCCGTCCGCCGGCGGCATGGCCGAGTGGCGGGAGCTTCCGTTTGTGCCGCTGACGCGCTCCAAGCTCACGGTGGTCAGCTCGGCCTCGCTGCCGGCCGGCAGCAGCACCACGGCCGGTGGGTTGGCGCTGGCGGCGGCCAGGGCGGGCCAGGGCGCGCGCCCCGGCACCATCATCGTGGCCGGGGGCGCGGAGGGCGCGGGCGGCCCCGCCATCAGGGTGCCGGACGACGGGCGGCACCGCCAGCCCGACTGGGGCGGCTCCATGACTGACGAGCTGCAGCCGTCGTCGCCGGCCCCCGGGGCAGCCACGAGGACCGCGCCGTCGGCGGCGGCCGTGGAGGCCTCGAGACTGCGCGCCGAGCGGCCGCGAAGGCAGCGGGGGCTGTGAGAGGTGAGTCGTCTGGCGCCGCCCTCTGTGGCGGCGGCGCAGTTGTTGTGTGGCATTGAAAATTTGAGGCAGAGAAGTTGCCCACCTACCTCCTGGCTCTCTCGCCCTCGAGTCTCTCTCCTGCCCGCGCCGCCCAAACTCATGCAAATTTATGGATACCGCTTGACATTGGGCTTAGCGGTCGCCTGCTCTGCTTTCCGCCACTGCCTCACCTCCTCGTCCTCCTCGCCCTCACCCTCCTCCTCCTCATCCTCCTCCTCCTCCTCCTCCTCACCATCAGCCTCCTAGGGCTGCTGTTGTGCCCGCCCTGCTTACTTCGTTCAGAAGTTGCCATGGGGCGGTGATGATGACAGCGGGAAGGGGCCGATTGTCTTCACCGATGTCGCTTTCTCCCTAGCCCGCCGTCGCGTGCATCGTCCTTGCCGCCGCCGCCGCCGTCTCGGCCCACGACCAGCAGCAAGGGAAGGGGCGCCCGGAGGAGGAGAACTTCCCTCTCCGCCTTGAGTGAGGAGGAGGCCCGCGCGCCGCTCCGCCGCTCCACCCCCGCGGCTCGCCACATCGCACCTGCCGTCCCCCTTTTTACAGCCCTTTAATAAACACCTGCTTCACGGACTCGGCGTGCCTCTGGCGCGCCCTGCCGCTGGCTCGGTGGAGAGGGAGGGAGCGAGGACGTTGCCATTTGTTTTGTCGCGGCCGACAGCCTGTCATCAGCGCGCGCTCACGATACTCTATATTTATGGGGGGAAGGGGTTTAGTGGTACAGCAGCCTGCTTACAATTTCGTTTCAAGTTTGAGAGAGTACTAGTTTTCACGCCTCTGCGGGCGTCATCAGTAAATATACCAAATATTCAGCTGCGCGGGTCGTGAATCGGTCTGGGGGAACTTGAAACAAATAATTGTTTGTCGGCGGTTCCACGCGCTGCTGGCGGGAGCATACTGTGGGCGTCGGTACAAGTTATGTAATTTGTGGACGCAACCCGCCTCGTTCGAGGGGAGGTCTGTACTTCACTGGTAAAAAATTGAAAAGGGCGTAAGTCGTCAGTCGGCGTAAGTCCAATGGGAAGTCCGAGGACTTACGCCCTTTTCACTTCTCTCTAGCGACTCACCGGGGGTGCTCCGATGGTGCCTGCACCTCTGCACTCAGCGCGGCCCGGCCCACATCCCCCCCCCCCCCCCCCCCCCCCCCCTCTCTCTCTCTCTCTCTCTCTCTCTCACCCCCCCCCCCCCCCCGGTCACGCTCACGCGTAAAGTCGTTATTCCGGGCCGGCGCCCAGCTCCGCAGCGTCCGCGTCCGCCCCGCGCCTCGGGCTCCGGACCACCCCGCCCCGCACCGCCGTCGCTACCTAAAACGAGTGCTTGAGCAGCAACATCCGCCCGGGGGAGCCGCCGCGAAGCGAAAGGAGAGTTCTCCGACGGCGAGGGGGGAGGCGTCTCTCCCACGAACAGTATGAGGAGCCTCGCACCGTCCCTTTGCATGAATAATAGTGTCGCACGACTCGGTCTTCTTAGGGTTGCAAGCGCGTCGTTTTAAGTAAATTTTGTGCCACTCAGGCTCAAGAAACACTTTTTGGCACCCATTTTAAGACCACTCCAATGAGGTACCTTAGTCGGGATATCTTGCAATTTTCAAAAGATGCTGATTATTTTTTTCTAATTTTTTCGAGCCCAGAGTCACTGCGCACCGTCCGTGCATCCTGTGTGGTGGCGGGGAGTGAGGGGTCTTGTTTTGATGAAGTGTGCTCCACCGGACCAACCATATGCACTGCACCAACATGCATGCGTGACCCCTTTAGCGCGTGTATGTCTGTCTCTGTCTCACACTCTGTCTCCGTGTGTCTCTGCCCTCCTCTCCTCTCTTTTCACTCCAACTCCTCCGCCGCCGCCCCGCACAAACTTATCCCAAGCCTGCCAACTACCGGAACCACAACTGGAGCTGCTGCTGCTGCGCGTGCGCGCCAGCGCGTGTACAATATGCAGGAAAATAGAGGGGTTTATATAGACTGCGGCTGGAGGAGCCCCCCACCACCACATACACAGGGGGAGAGGGGGCCGCACCACAGTCGTTGGGGGAGCAGGAGGGGCGCAGGTTATCAAGCAGCAGGCGTGTGCGTCTCTCTGTCGCCCGCCCTAGCGTCCCCCACGCTCTTGCCGCCCTGGGAAAAATAGTAAGTGGCAAGGTGGCAGTAAGGTGGCAAAGAGGTGGTTTTTAAGTGGCGAAGTGGCAGCCCCAAGTGGCAACGAGGTGGCAACTAGGTGGCGAGGTGGCAGCAAGCTGGCAACGGGGTGGGCCAAGTGGGAAGGAGGTGGCATCGAGGTGGCATTTAAGTGAAATTGGCCGCTTAAGCGCACGAGGTGGCACGTTTAGGTGGCATCGAGCTGGCAAGTAGGTGGTTCGTCCGGGTGGCGCCCGGTAGCCCGGGTGGCATTTAGGTGGTGTGTCGGTGGTGAGATTGAAAATATTAAGTCAAAAACAAGTGATGGGTTTTAAAATACAAATTTATGTCATGTATCAAATTTATTTATTGACTGTACTCTTTCGACTGATATTTACATGACATTAATTCACATGTTAAAACTCACTTGTTTATTTTGACTACAATATTCACTCACATATCATGCATTTTAACTATTTCACCAGCAATTTATGTAAAACATTCGAGGCAAGTGAAAATGAAACAGGTTATCACTAAATTGTCTTCAAGAGTTCAGTAAACAATATTTATTTTTCTAATGATGCAATAGCACAATTGCGTTTGCCAAGAACTGTAGAAAATAGACTTGCGCACACTCTTCTCATTAACTTATTTGAAACACTGCAGTATTGCTCAAATCCTGGAAAAGAAATGAATTTATTAGCATAGCATGATAATATTAAGAAAAGAAATAAACAAACACTCAACACTATACATTCCACGATCAGTTCACAGTTCACAGTTAGAAAACTGCTCTTACCTGTGAAAATTATTCTCCAATAGATTGTCTTGGTGGGTGAGTGATACTTTAGTACGGGGCAATGATGACATGTTCACCTCCAATTTAGTCCTGCAAAAATAAAAAGAGGTCAATATTGGTGTTCTGTTCTGAAAGTTATTGTGAAACATAAGGTACGGGTTAAGAAAATTTTACCTGGTGGTAACTAGTCTACATTTCTTTCTCAATAGGAATAAACTAGGAAGATTTCCACCTAAGTTAATTTATAAACAAATACCAGGGTCGCACGATCCTGCAAAGAAGAAAACATTTAAGTATAACAATCAAGCATTTGCACTTGGTGGTGAGAAAGAGATGCATGTACAAAGTATACTTACATGAGATAAAAAGTCCACAAATCGTCTACGTTTTAACTGCATTTCGCACTCCGCCACTTATTCTAACGACTCCACACTGATTGATCAGAAGTTTCTCACATGAATACATTGAAAAGTTAAAAAATTGACACACATACAGTCTAGGCCCACAAACCGGCTCGAACTAACTCGTGTTACCTTTAGAGGTTATGTTGACATCAACAGTTGACGAACGCCGCAAGACAGCCACCCTTCTGCCTCCAATACTTTAATTGTCAATTCAGTCTATAGAAAACCTCAGATGTAAGACGAAAATATAAGTTGTTTTTCCCGGAAATAAGTGAATAAATTCACTATGTTTGTTACTTAAAACTTTTACTGGAAAGTTGGAGTTAAAATTTTAAGTATTTCTGTTGGTAGCGCTAATTTTGTGCCAAATTTGAAATTCAGATAATAGATTTTGAAGTTGATTATGATGATCAAACGTTCAGGAGGCGTCTCCTGAAACGTTAGTGTGGTGCCGCTATGTCGATGCATTTTCAATTTAATAGGTTCATTATTTTTGCACCATATTTTTAACTTGGGGCTAGCCCATAATATGCCACAATCCCCAATCCCACAAGCCAGTGAGTTGTTGACTATTTGACTTGTTGACTTGTAATTCCTCTCTACCCTTATATGTTTGAGTCCTAAATTTATTATACTCCAGTTGTAAATGTCTCAGTATTCAGTTGGCATGTCATAGAGTGTCATACCTCTTAGTGGTAACCGTTCAAAAATCCATTACCTTGCCAAAGCCGCTGGCTTTTACGGAACTTGGTGGTGTTAAATATGTTACACTTTGTATTGTTCCTGGATCTGTGAATGGTTTTGCATGAATTCCAATAGTAAAAGATTGTTTCCTCTCTGTCTTTATCTGACCCACATATCATTTCATAATACTTTTGTATATATTGAGGTATTAGATTAGAAACTGAAATAAATAAGAAGGTAGCAACAATATTTGCAAGCTTCAAATATGATCTATCAACTCAGTAAGACACCAGATTAAAAACAAAATTTTGACTCAGTAAGTTTTCAGCCTGGTCTTCAATTTCAGAAGACACTTAACAATGAAACGAATTGGAGCTCACTCCGTCAACCATTTTCTTTAAATCCAGTCTCCTTGATTTGACTGCCTTCTAATTTATTGCAGCGGCTAATCTAAAAACTTATCCGACCCAAAATATCTAACATGAAGCAATAGGATTTTTACTAATTTACACAAAAGTATCATGAAATGTTTCTTTGGTGAAGATAAAGACAAATAGAGAACAATCTTTTACTAAAAGAATTTATGCAAAACCGTTTATATGTCTGTGAGCAATGCAAAAGTAGCTCATTTATAACACCACTAAGTTCCGTAAA